TACATACATACATACAGACATACAAGTTATTTCGTTCCTCTATACAATAATAGACGGTCCCAGATCTGATTTAGATCGTATCAAGGGATTATATTACACAAAGATTAACAAATTTCTTCCCTCTCTGCTTTTCTACACCAGCAGGACTATCACGGCTGAATCCATTCACTCCCTGCTAGCTTAAGGGCAGAATGCGCATTCGACAGCAAGCCTTTGTGGAGCGGTGCGATGCAACACAAAATGCTAGCATTTGATTAATATAAATTCGAAAAAGTTGCCGGACGGCCCCGGTAAGATAAATTTAGCAGATCGATTCTAAAGATGTGCCGCTGGTATGCGCGCAGCCACCCTCGCGTGACGGCGCATTAATAGCCATCGGCCGTACTGTAGTGGGGGCAATAACAGCGGCGGCGAAACCGGCAAATTACGCGCGGTGTGAATTACCGATGTCGCGCCGCTAATTGTTTATTAATGGTTTTGTCCTTTATTCTCGTTACCGGCCCCTCTGTCAATACGCACGCCGAGTGCACCGTCGCGCCACCTCAAATATTTACTCGGCGTTTCGATACAGTTTTAATGAGATAGAGTCGAGATTTTCGCGCATGCTCCTTTATTATATAGCCAGCATCGATTCTTATCGTTTGCCTTTTCAGGCCAGCGCGCCGCGCAATAACAGCGAGATTGCTGTATGCACACCGAAATTAATTAATGGTGTTTTCACATCTGATGTTCGTGAAGAGAGTATACAGTGAGTACAGCGTGAAACTGCTGACCGGCTATCGTGAAACATGGCCACCACGCGAAAATGGACTTAACACAAAATAACAGCAAACGTCAAAAGCACGGGATCATTTAGGGTGAACATTATCTTAGAGCCAGCCTATAATACCCCCCGTAGGCGAGTTCACAAGTAATTCATTTGTGTTTTCGCCCTGCACGAGTTCAATTTATATGTGTCTGTATTATGTAGATTTTAAATGCATTTTAGAGGGAGCAATTGTTAAAATAAATATTCATCGCTCTCGGTCTTATTCTATTGATGTACGTTTTCGGTACTTCATTTATTATTTTCTACTTTCACATTTGAGAATGCATAATATTTATACACTATCGAACTGTAGCCAATATATGCGTGTTTATCGTGCGCGCGTGCGTGCGTGCGTTTGTGCGCGCGTGTATGGGCACGTGCGTGCATGAATGCGTGTGTTCGTAGACATTACTCGTGCAAATTAAATACTTTTTAATAAAAGATGAAAGCTGGATTATTAGCTGTGAATTAACTATTATTACAACAAAGCCATGAAAAATCATTTCCTAAGAAATAGAAAATAGAAAGCCTATGCGTAGTTAACAATTGAAAGAGTCGCATACAATATAACTAATTTTAAGCGTGGGTCTGAATTACAATGAATTTTACCCTATTATTCACATTGCTTCTTTACGCGTAACATATGACTAACATTAAATATACGGATCAACATTTACTCGGTAACTAATTAATGCACATCCTGTAATCATTATACGATTAACGGAAGTGGGCGATGGCTACTGTATTAGTAACTTTTACAGACGTTTAAAAAGTAACTAGGGAAATTATTTATGGACAGTCATTATGAATAGTTTATATAAATGTCATTATATGTAACAATAAAATATACCACTCGATCATATCTTCTCTTAGTTTATCGAATATAAGTGGGTGCGTAACAAAGCCGCTAAGATACAGTAAACCCTCACTACAACTTAGATCTTACTAAAGCATTATAAGCGATTACGACCTACGTAGGCCTACGCTGCGCAAACGCCGAGCTCGCTCACTTTTCATATATGTATAGTACAGTATTGAAGAAGCGAGAGGTCCCCTGCTGACGTTTGATTACACTCGGCGCTATCTCTCCATCTTCAGAATGGCTTTATCACTCGCCGGCAGCTTGGCGAAATTTGACTTTTATAGGCGCTCGTTTACATTTAGGGAATATTTATTTTTCATCATGCATATTGTGTCACAGCGCTCTGTGTGTTGGCCTTTCACGCAGACATAACATAGTATAATGCTGATGATTTCTCATCAGTGACTGACCATATGCCAGTGAGTGAACTCTATCAGACCCTTCCTTGTGCGGGATCTTGCAGTTATATTAAGTCACACGCACATGAGCCGTTCCAGATATAAAATGATCGTAAATATACACAAATAATATTTGCTACAAATTATTTAATGTTTATGTACACTATATTACGTAATAATTTGAATTAGCCCGTGTTCGGATGCTTCTCTACAACACACAATGTCAACGCACGCACGTAACTGTACGCGCGGTGACATCGCTGCATGCATGGGTACAGAAAAACAGTTGAACAGCATCTAAGTATAATTATACTGCGGTATAAGAGGTATAAATATTAAAATTTTGTAGTATATATAATTATTATATATTTACTGCCATGAACTGGCCAAGTGCCCGTGCACAATCTCAAGCTTGGCTGAGCATGACACAATGCTAAAAAACTTATTATCTTTCTAATCTGATTTTTAATCTCTCAGTTCAAAGTCACGGTTCGCCATTCCGTCTTAACGAGTACGAAAAGCTTAATAGTTTAGGCATGTTAACACTTCACACTGACACACTTTACACTTTGCGCGCATTCTTTCATGAAGATATAATACCAGCCCGACCAGTAAGTTCACAGAACCATGTGCCCATTCTACCGTGTCTTTACGTTTACTGCAATACCGATTATTTTACAAGTGATTCCAGTTGGTTGCAGATATTCAGGAAAGCTATTTTGATCAAATTGCTCACTTTTTGCGTGTGCGCTGCCTAGTACATACCAGGCGGTTTAAATATTTCTCACTGACGTTTCAAAATGGCCGCTAAAAAACGTCAACTGAGCGACTCACCAGCTAGGGGAAGAATCTTTATAATATGACTTCGGTTGCTTAAATAATGGGCGATCACTGACGATTCATAACCGAAAAACAATTCTCGAGTATATTCGAGTATTCTCGAATCAGCGGTGCAATAACAGCTCGGTTAGACACATTGTTCGCGCTAATCTATCTTTCTATCTATATTTATATATATATATATAGATAGATATATATAGATATATATATATATATATATATATATATATATATATATATACTATATATATATATATATATATATATATATACTATATTATATATTATATATATATATACTAGTACTAACGTAACTAACGTA